TTCCATCTGCTTTCTAATTATAGCCAACATAAGGCTATTCCTAATTTTAGCTGCTGCAGCCGCGAAATAGTCGCCTTTTAATAATTCATGAGTTCAGACACAGAGCCTGCTCCTTACTGGCACGCTTATCGCCAAGGTGTTGCTCAGCCGGCTGAAAAACAAGGCGGATGTGGGGCCCGGGGTTTCAGAGAGGGACACTGCATTGTGTCATTACGCACGGGACGTGGTTCAGCTTGTAAAGTTCTCCATAAAAGATGCAAATAATCAGACTCAGCAGGCGCTGTGAGGAGATGAAAAGGCATGAAGATGTTACCCTGACAGATATCTGCTTCTCTCCCCGCTCGGCCTAAAAGCAAGAACCCATATCAGTCATATTTTTAAGGGAGATGTGTTGATTAGTATTCGACAGTTTGGAGATCAGTACCAGCAGATGCACGGAGCCGAGCTCTGCATATATACGTGGCCAAAGCATTTGGGTGAGCTGTCCTCCCCGGGATGCGTTTGTTTTGATCAATGCGGATCTGAGTGAAGCGTGATTTTGCCTACAGCGCTGACATCAATCGAGATGGACAGGGGTTAAAAACGACTGCCTCTGAAGAAGCGTTTGAAAGCTCCTCTCATCTCAGCCCGCCATACGCTCTGATGCACGCGCACGGGCCTGTTTGTGTGTTTGTGGGTGCAGGTTGCGTGTGTGCAGATATATAAGCAGGGGGTGCTGGTCTGTGTGTGGTGAGGCCTTGTGGTCACCTCTAAACAACATTTGCCCTGTCATGTGATGTCAGTGTCATATTATTATTATTAGTGTGTCAGTGATTAAGCAGCACGTGAAGTACTCATTAGTGCATTATATTTGTGTTGTGGTGCGTTTAGGTGCAGCTTCTTCCTCTCCAAGAAGTTCAGTAACCGAGGAGAGGGGGAGGTGTAAGGGTCAGGGTCGTGGAGGACTCAGCCACACACACACCTTAGATCAATGGGAGGCAGGGCAGGAAAGGGGGTTTGCTCTCTGTTGCCATAGAGACGGGAGGACAGTGGTGTTGGATACTGTTGCTAGGCAGGAGAGGCTGCCTCTGAAGCAGGTGAGAGGATGTGGGGTGGTCTGCTGTGAAGGGTAGACGACAGGGGGACGGTGGGAGAGTTTATGGTTTATTTTAGATCAGGTGGAATAAAATAATTCACATTTGGTGAGAAGTAATTATTAAAGAAGTGTGTCATGTGAGAAAAAAAATCAGCACATCCAAATTTGACTCATTTGAACCCAAAACTTAGATGACTATAAATTGTGTTATGGTCACTTTATCAAACCAATCAATAACAACTATTTACTGTTGCACAATCCTAGTGCACAGCCCAGTGGTCACTGCATTGAAGTGCAGTTTGTTTGGGATGTCACACAGCATCACACTGACGCCCTGCTGTGTCTGTAGTTTCTGTATCCTTCAGCTCAAGTGAAGGTTTACGATGACATCGCTTGAAAAATGAGCTCATTGCCTTAATTTAGAGCAACAAGCAGCGTCATGTCTATGACAGAGATGCAGATCTCTCAGACATGACCACGAGACTCGAGCGCCACCCAGTGAGTTTAGAGCGGAACAGCTTCTTGCTGGAGCTCCTTCATTAGAGCGGCGGTACACTTGCGCCCTCTGCTGAGGGAAAATCCGTACAACTTCTGTGGCTGTAAACAAACCAGGAGTCATGAATGCCGTTTTTTTAAATTTATTTTTTAATGTTGTACTTGCAAGCATCATTTTTTTAAACATTACACTGCAACTTCTGCTGTTTTCTGCTACTGCTTTTATTTATTTTATTTTAACTACATGGAGAGAAGCCATGTAAAATCCCAAACCCGATTATAAAGACAATTCTTATATTCTCTCATGCTGTACTGCTCACATCATTAATGGCAAGGCATGCTTATTTGTATAGCACATTTCATACATAAGGGCAATTAAAAGTGCTTTACCGTGCTTTAAAGTTTAAAACATAATAAAGTATACAGAAAAGAGTAAAGATAGAAAAGACCTAAAAAGTAAAAATGATTACTAAATGATTTAATATTGAGTTTAAAAATAAAGTTGCAGTTATTACAGGGTGGAGTAGGCAGTGTGCTTTAACGTGAAAGTGTTCAGAGTCTGGCCTAACATCATCTCTGAGGTTATTCCAGATTTGTGCTGCATGATAACAAAATGCTGCTTCACCTTGTTTTGTTCTGACTCTTGGGACGGTCAATAGGCCGGCCCCAGATGTCCTCAGGGTCCTAGAAGATTCATGTGTCACCAGCATGTCAGAGATATATTTTGCCGCTGAGCCACAAAGTGATTTTAACACAAGCAGCAAGATTTTAAAACCAATTTTCTGAGTGACAGGTAACCAGTGTCAGGATTTTAGAAGTGGAGTAATGTTGTCATATTTCCTACTTTTTGTCAGGACCTTAATAGCAGCATTCTGAATACGCTGAAGTTGCCGAACAGCTTGTTTTGAAAGTTTTTTTTTTAAAAGTTTTTAATGGTAGTAGGTAGATGAAATAACAGATTTGATGTGGCTGTGGAAATTTAAATCTGAGTCCAGGATTACACCAAGGTTTCTTCCTTTTTTTTTTTTTTTAAAGATATTTTTTAGGGCATTTTGCCTTTATTGGACAGGACAAGTAAGCATGAAGGGGGAGAGAGAGAGAGAGAGAGGGGGGATGACATGCAGGAAAGGGCCACAGGCTGGATTCGAACCCGGGCCGCTGCGGCAACAGTCTTGTACATGGTGCGCCTGCTCTACCCCTAAGCCACCGACGCACCCAAGGTTTCTTCCTTGACTCTTAGTAATAAGAGAGAGGGATTTGAGGTGAGAGCTGGCACTGTCTTTCTTTTCCTGGCCTTAACGGTAGATTGAGGAGAGAAACAGAATTTCAACATCATAAAATCAGTCTAAATCCACAAATAAACCACTACTTCATTGTTCTAAGCGTCCTCACGTCGCCCATCACTGCTCATCTACTGGCCCCTGAACGCCTCATCACGGAGCTGTCCGTGGTGCTGTCCATAGCACACACAGACAGCACCACTATAGTTCTTCAGCACCATGGACAGCGCCATGATGTGCTTTACTATCACTGTTGTTTTACAATAGGTAAAGAAATACATCTCTAGTTTCTATACACTTCACTTTGCCATAGGCTTTGTTGTTCAACATGAAACTGAAGTTAATTCCAGTAATTCAGTACAAAACAACACTTATTTACACGTACCAGCTGTCCTTTACTCTGCTTTATTGATTCGCGCCTCCTCCCGTCCACATGTCAAAGTATCCTTGGGCATTACTCCTGATGGCTGTGACGTCAGTGTGTGAACGTTCACTGTAACTGGGTAGGAAGTGACACCTTGTATGGTAGCCTCGGCAAACCGGTGTATGAGTGTGTGTGAACAAGTGAATGTGACATGTAGTGTTACAGCACTTTTTTAAAAGTCAATTTACCATGTATTGCCTTGTGTCCTCTCTTGCAATCAGAGGCTCAGGCTTATGGAAATGGCTGTAGCAAGGTCTATGGCTCCGTCCTTTATGGCAGACTTTATTGTTATTATTCAACTTTTTCATCTTTTTCATGATTTTTATTGCTGTTTATAATACTTGATATACATTACTGCTGCTTATTTTGTTTTTATGGACTTTTTTCCCATCACGTTATTGTAATTATATATTTGTATCCTTCCAGCCCATTGAATGTGAACTCAGGGCATTGCTGTAAAAGAGCTTACTGCTCAGTCAGTTTTCCCTGAATAAACAATGGTTGATGAACTCATGATTATTTTCATTATCGATTAATCTGCCGATTATTTTCATGATTATTAGACTAGTTGTTTAGTTAAGGAAATGTCAAAAAATGTGAAAAATGCTCATCACAATTTCCCACAGCCTAAATTTGCTTCTTTTGTCCAATCAACAGTCAAACCCCCCCAAATTCGTATGATCATAAATAGCAAAGAAAAGCAGCAAATTCTCTAATCTAAGAAAGTGGAACAAGCAAATGTTTGACATTGTAACCTGAAAAATGACACAATTATTAAAATACTCACAGATTTTCTACCATTTCCTGGTTCGAACCCAGGGTGGGGGAGCCCTTCTGTGTGGAGTTTGCATGTTCTCCCCATGTCAGCGTGGGTATTCTCTGGGTGCTCCAGCTTCCTCCCACAGTCCAAAGACATGCAGGTTAATTGGTGACTCTAAATTGTCCGTCGGTGTGAATGTGAGCGTAAATGGTTGTCTGTCTCTATGTGTCAGCCCTGTGATAGTCTGGTGACCTGTCCAGGGTGTACCCTGCCTCTCGCCCAGTGTCAGGTGGGATAGGCTCCAGCCCCTGTGCGACCCCCAATAGGATAAGTGGTAACGGGAATGAATGAATTAATGACTAATTGTTGCAGCTCCAGCTTGGTCTTAACTTTCCTATAAGAAAAAAACTGGGAGTTGGGATCTAGACTTTTACATTTCCAATAATTTGTGGACGCATGTTGTAAAATCATGTTATTTTTATGTTAAAGTGCAAGCAGTGCGTATTTTAATAATTGCCTTTGGGTAAAAGGATGACTAAATTAATATTTACCCACTACAATGACATAAAAACATGGGCTCAGTAGCATTCTAAATTAAATGTTCATAGGGGTGTTTGCAGGTTTACTCACCTGTAGTGGTTAGCAGCCAGGAGAGTTTCCACACTGAGCTTAATTGGTTTGATTTGTAGAAGATGAGACTTTGCTATTGCCACAGAGTGTGATTGAAGCTGCCTACATGTGCTGTTCAGTTTGTTAAAGGGTTGTGATGAAGAGTTGTCCTCATGTGATATAAATAAAGCTGCACCCTCTGGATGGGTCTGACAGACAAATGTTAAATGCTCTTGAGTCAAGTATTGTTGATCCTCACTTGTCCTTCCTAAAAACAAGACACATTCACCTCCACCCACCCACCCACACATCCAATCAAATCTCCAGCCGCCCACATAATAACAGATAAGTCCTCACTTTTGTTTTTATTGCACACTTTAATCATTTAGTAAACAGATCTTCACAGTAACAATGCAATAGCAGAAAACAGAAGCAAATCACTGTGCGGTGCAGCTTGTTAGGTCTTCAAAGTATTTATAGATATGTACACTGAGAATATGAAAATCAGAGAACAGTGCAGGAGGTTCTCCCTGCAGTGGGAAAGAGGTGTTTTAACCTCTTTATCACCCCCAAAGCACTTCTCAGACTCGAGTCCAGCCACTCCGGCTTTGCACCGTTTGTAGCTCAATGAATCCTGTCCATACTGCCAACCCAAAAACATTCAAGTACTGTATTTCTGTCATTGCACAGGTACCAAGTCAGCCAGTGCACAGGACTGTCAGGAGGAAACTGAAAACCGCATGGCGACCACTTCTGCAACGCAGCGTCGAAAATCAAATAGCTTTGTTGTTTTCCTATCGTGTGAACATAAAAAAGTACTCAAAGGAACATCGGTTTAAATAGCATCCAAATGCTAAAGTACCTACGGTAAATATTTCCCAAGATATAAAGCAACATAACCTAGAGTTCATTAAACCACTTTCATTCTTTGTGACACATCAATAAATAGTCATTTGGACATGAAATCTCATAAAAATGACACAACATACAAACTGTAATATTTTGCATTGCAATAATTGTAAAATTATATTTAAGAATGGCATTTATGAATGGTAGTGCATTGGAATGAAATGGCCGCTTAATGGACCACAGTGTTCCCACATATTTTAACGGTTTCCATAATATTTTATCATTTTATCCCTTCTGCATGACTTTATTTAAGTAGTTTGAATCAGATGGGCAGAGTTGTCTCGCTTCCCGGGCTGGTAGAAGTGCTAACGGATATGAAACATCTGCAGACGCTATCAGTCTGTTGAGCAGCCTTTTGGTTGTCTCGATGCTTTTTCCCTTTAGCATGGCTCACCAGAGCTGCTGCCCTCATGTTGCACATGTCCAGATTTTGGTGCAGGTGCTTCCTCTCTCGTGAGCCATGTGTTACATCAGTCATTCCAAAGCCATATGTTATTTAACAAACACTTCCAAGGCTTTTGCAGATAAGCAAACTACTAGCGCTTGCTAACTTAAGTTGCTTGTTAGACATTCCCGCCACCAATTAGTCGCATATGCCAACGTGTGCTACGTGATACGAGTAACAGTTCAGTGGTCACGCAGCAGAGCACTAGATTTTAAATCAGTAATAAAAGGAATGTATTTCGCCAACATTAGGCATGTTTTGGGATTTTCCAACCTGGTCTCACTCCCAACTTGTCAAATACTGATGCTTGGTCAGTGGCCCATCATCGTTGGACACCGACGCACAGAGGCACCCTTTCGTGGCGGTATAAGAAGTCCTGGGTGACAGTATTTTTGACACTTGGGCAACTACCTTAGTGTAGAGAGTATGAAAGTCTGCATAGGGTAGGCAGGAGTGGAGGTGGATGGGTCAAACAAACTCTGGACTTTCACCCAGGAGATGTTTGTCATTTTCATTCATTCATTTTCAGTCACTGCTTATCCTGTTTGGGGTTGCGGGGAGTTGGAGGCTATGCCAGCTGACATTGGATGAGAGGGGGAGTACACCCTGGACAGGCCGCCAGACTATTGCAGGGCTAACACACAGTGACAGACAGGCTTACATTCACACTTGGGGGCAATTTAGAGTCACCAGATAACCTAAGCTGCATGTCTTTAGTCTGTGGGAGGAAGGTGGAGTACCGTCTTGCTGTGAAGCAGCAATGCTAACCACTGCATCAACATGCTGCCCCATTTGAAACCAAAAGTCAGTGAAGTTACTTTAATAACAATGTAATATGCTAGTACTGTATCTGTACCATACTATGCTAGTGATGTATGTGTTTATTATGTTATAATGGTATAATATGTTACATTACTTTATTGAAAAATTTACTTATTTTTAGCCAAACCATGATGAAGTTTACCTAAAACATTTTTTTTACTTGTGTTCTAAGTTTATTTTGAAAAGTGACAATAAATAGAACAAGCGTAAATGGACTTCTTGTTCCTGAACGACAAAAACTGGCGCTTAAGGGGTGCTTAGTGCATCATATTCTGACTTGATGTGCCACTGACAAAGCGTTGGCATTTGACAAGTTAGCAGTAAGAATGTGTTGAATTTTCATGAACATATTTTAAATAATGGGCAAAAAAATGCAGATTTAAAATGTCCAAAACATTCTTATAATTTCAAACCACTCCCAGGCCTTGAAAACAGTTTTCCTAGTTCCATAACTTTTCCAGGAATTTCCTGAATGGGAACCCTGGGACCAGCACTCTGGTCTCTTTGCATTATTTTTGGTTTGGAGAATACTATCAAAGTGTGTTGTAGTGCAAGCTCGACTTGCAGCGGAGATGGGAAAAGAGAGAGAGATACAAAATCAGAATAAGGCAAAGTGAAGGTACTGTTTGAACTACAGTGTCAAATCTACTTGCACTCAGCTGTTTATGCTGTTCAGATGTGTGTGATAACATTTTCAATCTGTCCGCTCCGAGTCTGTGCCGAGACAAAAAGCTTATAAAGATAAAGAGAACACACTGTTTGGAAACTCCTATTCTCCTGTCCGTAGGTTGTTTGTGCCAGGCCAAAAAGAAAAGTAAAATAGCTTCCATACGCTTTCTCAACCTTTTCATACATTGTGATAACTGATAAAGCTTATTGTCTGACCATATGCTGCCCCAGTCAGTGTACGCTCTCATTTGGTTATGGACTAATATAATAAAACACATAAAACAAACTGATAGCCTCCATATTCAAAACAAACAGGACAAAATCAGAACACAGCAGTGGTTCCTTTATGTCTTATACAACAAAATACATCTTTATCTAACAAATACAAAGCCTCTGTGTGAGCACAGTCTCTTGTGGGGTTTGTAGATTTCTTCTATATAAACACACCTAAAAGCAGTTTCCAGAGAGGCAATGATGGCAAGTCTTGGAATTCACTGAATTCAGCTTGATATCAGAAGTGGGACTTTTTGGTGCAATCCCATTGGTCGAACAGCCACACAAATGGTCCATAGTTCACGTGTCACTGGTAGTTTCTGTCACCCTTGAGTCTCGCCCTCACTACCTGTGGCCGGGGCTCCTGTGGGTGGCCGTGTCCCCGACTAGATCTTCCTCCACCACATTAATGTAACCTTCTTTCTCTATGCAGCCTGCGATGACCTGCAGCACCAGCCGGAGCCTGCGGTCCAAGGCCTGGAGGTGACGCTGGATGAGGATCGGGGACAGTCGGTCACGGAGCAGGGACTCCTCCATCAGGGCGCTCAGCTGGTACTCCTCTTTGGCCAGCAGCTGGAGACGCAGGTAGGTGGATTTCCTCACCCTGGAAAGAATAATTGAAGAGATTAATTTAAATTAAACTCGACTCTCTAATGTTGCTGAATATGTGATGACAATATAAAAGATGTATTCATGTATTTTTCTTGCCATTTTTGCCTTTATAGGAGAGATGGAAGTAGAGATGCAGCAGGATGTGGGAACATTATGGTTAAAGGGGATAGTTCAAATCAAAAATATATATTTTTCTTGTTACCTGTGGTGCTATTCATCAGTCTGGAATGTTTTGTTGTGAGTTGCACTCAGCTTGTGGTGCTCAGAGTGCCAAAAAATACATTTGAGGAACTCAGCAGCAATGTCTCTTTCCAGAAATCATGACCCTTTTACTCAAGATAATCCACAGACCTTGTTTTGAGCAGTTTCATGTAGGAACTATTGTTTCTTAAGCTCCACCTACCAACTGTATCACTGCGCAGAAGGAAGCGTGCATCAAGCGTGAGATGTAAACATTAATAGCTTCTTCCTTGGCTGAGTTCAGTGGAGCTAGGTGAGCTAGCAGCAGATACATGCTTCCTTTTGCACAGTGATACAATTAGGGGGTGCAATTTGGCAGAAAGAAAATAGTTCCTACATGAAACTGCTCACAACAAGGTTTGTGGATTATCTTGAGTAACCAGGTCACGATTTCTGTAAAGAGACATTGTTGTTGAGTTTTTCAAATGTATTTTTTGGTACTTTGAGCACCACAAGCTGAGTGCCATCTAGATCCATTAAATTTGAAAGAAGGCAGACATCTCTGTGGCAGATATCTCTAACACATGGCAACTCACACCAAAACAATCCAGATTGATAAACAGCACTACAGGTGAGAAGAAAAACTGATCATTTTTGATTTGGTGGTGAACTGCCCCCTTTATAGGCCTCCAGGATGCCTCGCATTAGTGAATCAAAACATCAATCTGGAAGTCACACTTTTCATAAACTAGTAAGGTTATCCTTCCAGCTGTAGATGCACAAATAGAGGTGCTAAAAAAGTATACTTTGTCCTGATGGTGGTGCTGAAGCAAATGCCGCAAGGCCACTTTTAGGAGCTTTCATTCCACAGCAGTTCACCCATTAGTTGAGGTTTTTGTGGCTGAAGTTGAAAAGCCCAAGGGTAATGCTAGACAAAATCTAAAAGTGTGTCTAAAGAGGAAAAGAGTTTATTCCTTTAAAAGCATGAATTGGTAGTGAACACATTTTGCTGTTATCCTGACATTAGACTTTAAGATTTCTGATAAGATTTCTTATATATATATGAGGCCTAAGGATGATGGTGATGGAGGAGCTGGCAGGTCATTGTCTGGAATTATCTTTTTTCACTACCTGCCAATGTGGCAATCAAGTAATGTTTGTATGCCAATAAGAAGTTTTATCTGCCACTTTTGAAATCTATGGACTAATTAAAGGAATAACATTTAGATCATTTATACATTATGTGAAGTAAAGAATGCTGTCATTCTACACTTGATGTATTTACACATAAAACATAACGTGCATGGTAGATTCAGTGTATAAGTTATGCCATGGCTTTCAGGGATCCTTACATTTCTGGGGTCAAGGGTACTGTACACATGCATGTGCATTCATGAATGTACTGTGCCTATGTGCAACATCTTTTAAACCGATGGTCATTGGTAAGGATTTGGCGAACTTTGACTGCCAATCAGAGCAAGTTATGGTTCTACGGCTGATAGCGTTGCTTCCATACAGCAGTTGCGAGTGCCTTTCCAAAGTGTAGCTCTATCCAGTCATATGCTAATCTTACTAAATGTGTCTTTCTGTCGTGCTTTTCCCTGTCTGCCAAAGTGCCAGATGGCCTGACAATTTTACACACCACTGCCAACAATTTGGTGGGTGGCGGGTGCTGATTTCAGACCCTGGGCCAGGTCACCAAATGCATAACAACTCATTCTCTGTGGGAGATTTCAAGGCAAGTCAGCCAGAAGTTGTTGAGATATTGTGCTTTGGTCTTAAGTGTTGGAAAGGCTGACTTGTCTGATCAACATCCTTTAAGCCCTGTCGCTAGCAGGACAAAAAAACATTAACCCGACCAAATGAACCAACAAAAGACTGACCTGCAGCACTGGCTGAGAGGCACCAGGATGGACAGCTCATCATGGGAGTGTTTTCCAAACCTACGAGGGAAGGAGCAGAAATGATCACTGACACACTCATTGTTGGACTTGGCTTGTTGGACAGCTGCTCAGCCTTTTGCCTCATTAGCTCTGATGAAACTTGTTGAGCTTCCTGAGAAATACTTCCAGTGTGCAGATACAGTAGGTCAATTTATTTACTATGTAATACCTCCGAATTTGCAGGATGTCTCTTTTATTTAACTAGTTTCCTCACAGTGGGTAAAATATTTAGTAGTTGCTAAGACAGACACTTGAAATGCAGCTGAATGTTTTTACCCTCTTCCGTTGTCCAGGTGAATAATGAAGGTGTCATTTCCAAACTTCTCAAAAGTTTCATAGTGATGTCGATCCATGTTACCTGGACAAGGAGAAAGAAAATTTGAGGACACAAAGATGCATAAATATGCCATTTATTCAACATGATAAACATGTAAACATGATATATTTATGTGTGATGTTGACTCTTACCCATTAAGAAATCAAAGATGGTCATATCCATGACGTCCAGCAGTCGAGTGCCTCGGTCATATGGAGGAGTCTGCTTCACCTCGTCACAGTAATCCGGATCCACCTCCCACCTGAGAATACATTTAAAATATGATTTTATATATATACAAAAAGTTTTTAATTACCATTACCATTAATTATTTGAATGGTCTTCATGATTTAAGTTGAAGAAAGTCCTCTTTACAAGTAGATTTTATTCTGTATGAAGGGTTTGATTGGTACATGGAGAACCAAATGCTGCACAATAGTTCAAGTAGACCGACAATTGAAAGGGCAGAAAGTAGGGCTGACCTGAAGCTTCGAAGCTTCAACTGTTGCCATGGTAATCGACGACTTTATCAGTTCAGCCAGACAACTCATGTTTTAGATGTTTATTTCAACAACAGAACATAGTTAGAGTTTGGCGTCTAGACTCCGGCCTCATCGCCTCCTGCAGATATGTCTACATGAGATATTGGGGAGTGATGATTAAATATTTCCCACCTTAGCCGGAGCTTGCAGGTGGGGGTGGAGGTGGGGCTGAAAGAGCGAGCAGCAGTACCGATGCAGTGCAGCAGCGGCATAGACAATGCAATGGGAGAGCTGGGAAGATTTTGCAGCTTGAATAGAGCGCCAAATTGGGAGGGTGTGTTTTGTAGATGACATATGGAGAGTGACGAGGCGTTCCCCCACTATTAAACTGGTGAGGAAGTTGAAAGGAGGTGGCAAAAGAGAGACACAAAGAGGCCAGTGTCGTCAACGCAGTCATTGACCCCCGCTTCAAGCAATTAAAATGGCAGTTTGATGAGGGAAAAAGAACAGGTGAGATGAATTGTGGAAGGTTATCCGCCTGCAACTAAAGCGCCTGCTTTGCATTTAGTGATGCGGCCAAACCCACGGCATTCTGAGTAATTAATAACTTAAAGAAACATTGTGTGAAATAGTCCACCTTCCACCTTCTCTTCCCACTCCCTATCACTCTCTCACACACACGTAGTGGCACTAGGTCCTCCTAAGATTACAGTTAAAACTATTAGATTAGATTATTAGACTGATGAATCCCAGTTAAAGACCTATTCAGTCTAACCACTGAGCAGACTGCAAAGGGCTTCCCCAAATACTCAAAGCCCAGTTACAGGGTCAGTCACACTTTTATGGACTGGCAAACATCTTCAAAATTTTTGTTAAAATAGCCATTAAGGAAAGAATAAAAACAGAAATATAAGGTGTTTGTATGTTAAAAAAAATACAGCAGAGTTGAAGCCCTGACTCTGAAATCATGAGGAGTGATGACAGATTCATGAACGTGGTCCATTAGTCTTACTCTGCTTTCTTGCGCTTGTGGTAGGAGCGTCTCCAGGGGTTTCTCCACGTCTTCCGTTTGGCGAGGTTCAGGTCTGGCAGGAAGGCTGCCAGCGAGCCTTCGATCTGGTCCGGTTTACCGCACAGAGCTTGCTCAGTAGAGCAGTAGTAGGAGCACTCCCCGTAGAAGCAGACATTATTGGCTGAGGAGAGAAAAGATTGATTTAGATATGGTGTCAAAGAGGAAGCACCCAGTGGTTTGTGCATCGTGGCTGAATATGATCGAGGAGGCAAACATGGAGACGTTGAGGAGAAAAGATGAAGACAGTGAAATATTAAAGTGGTGGAGGTTTTCTAATCTCAGGTGCAGAGTTAAACACAGGTCACAGAGGCTGGGAGCAGAGTGCTGACCAAGCAGAGATAGTAAATCAAGAGTCGTCCTTTTGAGACGATGTGAATACTCATCAAACTGGCTGCTCAAAGTGCAGACAGCATTTCATTTGATTTTTGTTTTCAACCAAATTTTATAATTTAACTCTGAACCTTCTCATTAGGAAACCTGTTCCTCATTCTCTCAGTGCTCACAGGCTCATCAACATATTGAGAAAACAGATGTTTAATTTGTTGCTTTAATGTTCATCAATGATATTTTTCTAATCTTCTTCATGGTAGCATCCTGACGACTACACATCTGTGACAAGTGATCTGCTTTGCATAATATGCATCTATTTGAAACACTGAATGAGACTATAGTTTCCGCTGGGGCTTCACCAAATAGCTTTGTTCATAGAGTTCCTACACCTTTGTAATCCCACTCCGAATGAAATTTAAGACCAATTTTACAAAAAACAAAACTGAGGGAAGAAAAAAAAACATCAGTAACATCAGTTACTTAGGATTAGAGACAGTTTTGCCCAAATGTTTATCGTAACATAAGACATGACATGGTGATTTTGTGTTTCTCTGCATGTAGAATCCCTCTGCCTGGATTCCATCAACTTTAAAAAACGCCAAGCCTCCTATGTATTGCCTTGAACTGGTTTCAGCAATGCTGTTAAATCTTGGTTAAATAGGTAATTTTGTTGATTTTGCACTTCTCCATATCATACCTCATACCAGAGTACAATGATAACTGTGCCTCAAAGAAACAAAATGAGTGTTGTTGGTTCTTCTACCCTGATTTGCATGATGTCAATGTGAAAAGAAACTGGATAAGTCATCAGAAAAAAAGAGAGAATTTTGCCAATAATAATTTTGCCAGTGCAGATAATTTTGAGATTTTACAATGCAATGTTAGAAAAAATTACTAATAAAATCCTACTGTCCATGTCAGCATTAAGATTTTATTTTTTAGATACTGATTTAAGACATTTTATATTCAATTAAGGCTTTATTTTTAGATTAATAAATTCAGTGCCTTTTAAGACTTTTCAAGGATCCACAGGAGCCCTGCAATTATAACGCTGACATCAAATTCTATATCAATATTCAAATTCTGCACAGCTTTTTTTTTTTTTCTTTTTGCATGCCTGTTCATTTTATTTAAACATATTATTTCTGCACAGTTGCAGGAAAAGTTTAGGCTACTTAGGCTTATATTGTTAGTATTATAGATTCCAGTGGTGGCTACATAGGATTGTTTCCGACTCGTGTGATCCAAAGGTTTCCAATAACTCCAGAGCACTGTAATGTCCAAAAGTCAAAATGTCTTCAAAAAAGGTAGATGTACTAATTTCCAAAATTCACAACATGTTTTTATCTTATGAAATATTCTGTCTCAATCAATATTTGTTGGTGTTTAGTCTTTTAAAAAAAACATTTTCACTGTGCTCAAATAACTGCTTGCTGTGTACAGACTGTGGCACCTGTTTTAACGGAGCAGTCTAGCAGCACCATAAATTACATTCAGTCATTAAAGAAATTTGATTTAATAACAAAAATAAAAATACGGATTTGTTTATGCTGTTGAGTAACCTTACTCAGATTTAGGATTTTTCCCCCTATGGTGATGATATAAAATATGATGACAGATTAATTAAAAGCTCTGAATGTAAAAAAAATTACAAATAAATAGTAGTAATAATAATAATAATTCTAATAACAATAAATAAAAAGATAAATAAATATTGTTAAATATTAAATATTTAATCTTGATTTGCTGTGGTCAGTGACAATTTATAACCATAATCTTACAACAACAAAAAAAAAAGATTAAGAAAATGAGGGTTAACATTGTTTTATTTGATTCATTTGGATTAAATGAAACATTCTTATTCTTTGTTTTATGGAGTGGTTTTAATACATTTTTGTTGATCTGTTAATCTATGTAGAGCTTTTGAGGATAATCTGATCTACAGTGCCACCCTGTGGTGACTTTTGGCTATGACTGTATTTATCACCACGCATTCTTGCCATTTGCACTGAGCAGACTGTGACACACACACACACACACACACACACACACACACACACTCAGACTACAATCACTCTCTTTGTACCCAGCCCAGTTTGTTAAAGCTGCAGTGTCTTACAAGTGAAGCCAGAGTTGTTCTGTGTTCTGTCCAAACAGTGTGAGTGAGGCAGCCAAGAAGCAGCATCACTGTGCCAAGCTGCAGAGGCTGACGGAGTCTCTACCTGGAGAGATGAAGAAGGTCCTCCACAGCTTCTTATCACGCGTCACATCCCTGATCTCCCTCGTCATGTTGACAAGTCGCCCTGCCACTGGAGGAACTCTCCGGAAGTCAAGGATCCTACAGACAGAGACAGACAGAGTGGACAAAGGTAAAAATTTGAAATACAGTGAATTGCCAATTACATAAAGGGGACCTATTATGCTCATTTTCAGGTTCATTCTTGTGTTTTGGGTTACTAGTAGAGCAAGTTTACATTCAAACTTAATACTTTTCCTCACGCTGTTACATACCTCTATTCACCCTATGTCTGAAACGCTTCATTTCACCTACTTTCCAGGCCTTCCATAACTGCACAATCTGTATCTCTGAACGATCAGTGCAGCTAGGGAACTGACCCTTGCTAAGTCCCGCAGCTCAGACCAGGGCCCGACAACAACACAGCTGTGCTCCACTGACTCTAATGCAGTCGTTTCAGATTTCCTTCATTTTCAGGCTGGTTTTGTGGATTTGGAGCTAAATGTTGTGCCTGGGGCACGTCGTGTATTAATGATACTCGTTACCTGGAGAGGTTGGAAAAAGATATACGTTTCTTCCCTGTTCCAAAATCAAACCCTTAAAAGTGTAGGGTTAGCTAGCTAGCTACTGAAGATATAGTCTACTGAATGTATACACATGCTGCTTGTGCTTTTTAATGATTGTAACAGTGAAACAAAGAGCGACCCTGCTGTACAGGAACCAGTGAAGGGAAGCAGGGAAACTTTGCTCATATTCAACCAGCTGTGTATCATCGCATTGACTTCCCTAGAAGATCCCTGCATGTCTGGAGGCGGAGGTCCTGGTGCTGGCAGCAGCACGGGGGCGAAGCCAAACACGGTTCATCTGCACACACTGCGATGCCACGCAGCTGGTTCAGTATCAGCAAAGTTTCCCTTTATATTCATTGTCTTGTGTGGCGATCAGCAGTGATGTGGTGGTTCACTTTTACACTGTGATCTGTAGCCTATAGTTCGGCTTTAGCTTCTAACTATCTTTGTCTTTTTAACCTGTTGTTGCTGCTGAGTCAGTTTGACATCCTGGATATATCCTTCAAACATAGACTGTAGACCCCTCTGTCTGCTTCTCTCTGGAGTCACTATTTCATTTCTCCAAAAATATGATAATATTTCTTCAGGGAGTGCAGTTAGTTATAGTGTGGGCTCCATGCTTACTGTGACCGCTTGTTGGACAATCACAAAGGGGCGGGGCTTAGCAAAGGGTCAACTGTAATGGAGTTAAGCAGCACTTTCTACAGTGAAAAATAGCCAATATTTAAACATTGGAAACAGAGTATTCAGAATGCTCTGAAGCCTGTTAAACTACTTTCACAAATTTTTACCTCATTATTTGAAACTTTGGCCGTGTTTACTGTGAACATCTGGCACTATAATTTTTATATATAACAGAAAATAAGTAAAAGCATAACTTTAAGTTTGCCCCGAACAGATGCAGCAACAAAACATCTTCATCCTCCAGCTCATTCTCCCATGGTGCCCCAGGTGGTGCAGATTTTTAGAGTGTCCCCAGCCAACCAGGAGAGCTATGAACACTGAGCACCTGCCCTGCCTCTGTGAGCTGCTCTGTCCCAGCCAGCGCTCCTGGTTTCTGCACCTTCCTTGCTTCTTTATCTATTAATGTACATTACCTATATACCTACACAACAACAGGATGTACTTTAAGTCAGTATACGTCCATCATTCTGTAAATAAAAACAGCCCAAAGAAAAAGTGGGACATCAGGATATGTTTTCTTTACAGGAGAATGATGTTTAGTGGTTTCCAATCCAACCTGTCAGTACAAGACGTGATCTGTATCATCGCAGCAGCGCAAGATGTTAAATCATTCATCATCTTTACTGTCTGCTTTTGTGATTGGCATTAAAAGGCAGCATTTATTGACATCCAACGTCTGCTTCCAAACAACACAAGGATGGAAAAGGTGTGTGTATGTGTCTCTTTTCCACCTGTCTTTCAAATACACACTCAAACCCTCTGCCCATATTTAGATGGAAAAGCGTGTGTTAATCCCGCACTTCATGGTCTCAAACTCTTGTGCTCCCTTTTTCTTAGGCTCTTATGTCAGAACACTATATCTATTCAGCCCCTGTTTAGCCTGCCTCGCCGTATATTACCTGTCCAAATGACCCTGACCTGTTTAAGACTAAAGCTAAGCCTCCTGGGATCAGGTGCACAAACACACAGCCCAGCTGAGTGGAACAGAGTTGGCGAAACTTTAGCCTACAGAGGACGGCATTCAGGAGCCGCAAACTGCACCGTCACGTCCGACCCTGGTGACAAAGGAGCACCTGTGTGTGTGCGTGTGCATATGTGTGTGCCCGCGAGAGTGCACTCGAGCTTCTATTTGTGCGCACTCTGCCTGTAACACACCCTTGAGTCAAAGGGAGTTCACAACAGATGGTAATATGGCAAAGAATAGAGACTATAAAAAAGCCCTTGAGATATAGAAGTAATTACTGGAAAGAGGTGATGCTGCCTTTTCCCCTTAAATCTTACGGATATTTTGGTGTATTTCATCAGAACCGTCTCGAATTAGAAATCAAATTAAAGAAAGTTTTAGCCTCCTACTCTGCATTCCTACTTCAGTATGAAGCTGTAAACTAGCAATAGCTCAGACTGGTATCCAGAGGCTGCTGTGGTCAGGAAACTGGTCTATAATTCATAGGCAGCCCCGCATGGTGCACGCAATCCAAAAACAAACTGCTCTTTAGGGGCACCGGAGGCACCCCCCGCCTCCACTCTCAAACCATGTCCCAGTGGTAATGGCGTGCCTGTGATTTCCTGCTCGGCTCCATCTTCCTGCCCACGCAAACACATGTCGCTGACCTCATCTAACAAAGAGCAAGAGTGTGTGTGTTTGTGAGCATGTGTGAAGTAATTACCACGCCCTCAGCAGACCTTAAGATGACCTGCGTGCCATTAATCATCCTCCCGCAGAATCCCAAACTACCATGTTTGACTCTTCTTAGTGTTCCTCTGTGTTGAGAAGTTTTTTTTACCTTGTCAGCTGAAGTCTGTAGAGTAAAAGGATCATGTTGAAATCAATATACTCAGCAGCAAGAAAAGGAGATGATCCCGGCGCTCTGAGTGTTATCTAATCCCTCATGTACTAAATCCCATTCAAATTTTCACAGCTTAAGTCCAATAAGGCTCATCTCCGCTTTATAAATGGGTTAAAGTGTTGTCTGCATGAACGGACATGTCGATGATTTTAAAACGCACTCGGACAGGAAACAGATTAGACACAAAGACATCTCAGCACAACAAGGTTTTTTTCCAGGGGGATAAGGATGATATAACTCACCTGTCTAAGTGAAAAGCAGCAATCTCAGCGTTGTGCCTCTCAAAGTCGGAGAAGTAGAAGAAGTCTGGAGGGGTTTCCTGGTCCCGGGTCTGCCTGAAAGATAGCGTTTAGGAATATATTAAACACAGCATCAGCAGGATCATATTCAAATCAATGCCATACGTTTCTTTTTAATGTGATTTAATTGCTGTTGTTAAATATAGTTAGATAATAGCAAGAAGAGGAAACAAGATAAGAATGAAGAATAGCCCCTGTATTTCTATATGTATTATCCACCCTAAATTGAATTAGATCTCTTAAAATTGAGCTCTGTGCTTTTGCCATTCCCCTAGAAATGAATAAGAGTAGAATGAATATTCACATTTAAATCAGTGTAGCGGAATGGTCAGAGCGGGGGCCATTTTTAAAGCGATTTTCATAGCAAACGTCCTTACATACTTCAGAAAAAACAAACCGACATGCGGCAAGTGCAAATTCAGTGAGGTGAGGGTCTGCAGTAATGACCAAATGAGCAGTGGAGCAGTAATGTTCAAATAAGCACTCCGTTACTTTTAAAAATATCACCTTAACTGTCATGTCCTTGTTTCTTTTGTTGCCGTTTGTATGTTTTTGAAACATATAAACTGAAAGTTTAGCTGCGTCTGTAAAACGAGTGATAACTGAGAGAATTAGAGAGACTGTGGGGACAAACAGTGTGCAGAACAGAATATATTTTCACATCTATCTCAATGAATTACAGATTTATTTTGACCAAACCAGAGCTGGTGATTGTTGGAACAGTGGACAAAATAATTAGATGACTAACAAGACTAACAAAGATGGTTTTGGTGAATTTTAGTTGTTGAATAAGGTGTGTTTTATGATGCGTTAACAAGGCAGTTAAGATAACATTAGTCTTAGTTTGGTGAAAGAGAGAAACTTGGATTGGTGAACGGTAGGGCTGCAACGATTAGTTGACTAATTGATGACTAATCGACTATTAAAATAATCGGTGACTATTTTAGTAGTCGACTAATCCGTTTGAGTCATTTTTCATAGAAAAGTACTATAACAGTACCCCGAAATTCTCTTATTGCAGCTTCTTACGTTCAGATATTGGCAGCTTTACACACTCTCCCATGATGGTGAACTAAAACACTTTGGCGTGAGTACGAAACAAGACATTAGATGACATAGTTTTGGGGTTTGGGAGAGACAGACCGACATTTTTCAACATTTTAACACATTTTTTGATAAAAATGATTAGTCGACTAATCGGAGAAATAATCGACAGATTAGTCGACAATGAAAAAAAATCGGTAGTTGCAGCCCTAGTGTACGGTTGTAGGTGTCAGGATATGCTAAAACGGCATTCTCAAACTAGTGAGGGTGACACACTTTACAGCCCCACCTCGAACAACAATCACCATCTTCTTTTGCTAGTCAAATGACAACAGCAAAAAGTAATGTCGGTTCTACTCTCATGCTGTGTTCACACTATGATCAATAATGCAACGGTGTGACCAGCTACATTATCGCTGAGTCTCTGCTGAAGTGTTGCTCCAATGCTCATTATGTAGCTAAATCGTGATGGGCATCTGTGTGTCTGCCAAAAAGCACCGCCACTGATCATTATCTAAAGTTTGTATTTGGTCTGAAAAATATCTTTGCTTTTGATCAATGTCTGAGCCCCAATTTAACATCTTATTTTGCTGCCTGATTGCATTCCCATGTGCACCGCAATGCACACAAAGCTAGCATAGCATCAGCTAACAAAAGCTTATTAACACAGTACCACAGCTAGAAACAAAAACCATGTGATTGGTTGATGTTTTATTGTGTCATTAGAGCGCTGAAAAAAGTTGAGGCTAGATCAACTTTTATTTGAAGCACGTGAAGCCTGTCCACAGGGTCGGCGCCGGGCGTCAGTTTGTGGCTTCATGCCATTGAAAATGACTCATTGCCTGTTGCTGCGTCGCTCATGTGTGGACACAGCATCATTCTAATTCTATGGCCTTCTCAGGAGTACTGACTCATCAGCAGACCCAAACCGAATCTGCAGTGGCGATCCAAAATGAAAATCATCAGAATTTAGCAGAATGCTTTTTTGCTTGTAGTATGATAGACCATATTCATTTAAGAGAACATGAAAATCTACACAAGTGTGGTCAGAATTCTGTGGGTGCATATTGTGTGTGTGGGATGATGTTATAAATAACATCGTAACAGAGACATCAGTAAGGTATTCCAAAATAATATCTCTATAATGACCAAGCGCTTAAATTTTTAGCACGCCATCTTTTGAGTCGAGACATCTCTGCTCCTCTCCACACCGCTCTCCTCAGCTTTCATCAGATTTTCATCTCCTGCGGGGTGAAACTCATCTCAGTGTCTGCATCCCTTTCTAGGACAGAAGCTGACGCATGAGACCAAAGCCTGCGTGGACAAGGCTGCTGAAGGGAAGCTGGATGAGATTCTTGCTCACATCCTGCAATTCCTCCCAGCAAACACACCAACACACACACACACACACACACACAGACAGACAAACATCCAGGAGATGTGAATCCCTGCCAATCAAGCCATGGATCTGAGTCAGGAACTGCTAGAAGCCTCTTTGTGTCTGTCTGTCTCTCCCTGTGTCCGTCTGTCTGTTGCCTTATCTGCCAGCAGGATATTATCTCCCCACATTCGCACACTTGCTTTCTCTTTCTCACACACCTGACATTAACCTGCTCTGCTTGTGCACAGTCAGCTAAAGCTCACACACACATGTATCATACATGCTGCCACTTAACTGCGTTATCCTTCCTCCCCTCCTCCACTCCATTAGTATGGATTGGACTTCAGGGTGCATTATTTTCCCTCCGCCTTCTCTCCTTCCTTCCCAATTTTCCCTGACTACAGAAACTGTCCTCCTATTCTTTTACATGTCAAGGAAGCAGCCATTTACCCATAAATCAATTGCTACTATTGTGAGCCCTTCTCTTCTCACTCAGAGCGAGGAGGGGACTAATGGTGTTTTTATTTTCAGGGTGCAAGCCAGGGGAGAGATACTGTGTAGATGAAGAGAGGGTGGAATAAAAGGTAGCGAGGGCCCTCAGTTTTAAAAGGTGACCTTATGAGCCGGAGCACTCAATGCGCCTGTGACGCACCTTGTTATCACTCAAACAGGCCTTTTATCGAGGCACCTTATCATGTGTAGATAATCAGTGTTGCTAAAAAGACTCGGTGGCAGAAAAAGAAGCAAAGTTCCAACACTGAGATGTGAAATGGAGGCTTTTTCTTCATAAAACAGCTTGTGCTTTAAGAAGTTACTCTACATTGACAGCCAGTAAGACAGAAAGAAAGAAAGAAAGAAAGAAAGAAAGAGACTAAAGTTGAAGGTTGTTTCTCTCTTGAGAATCTCAGAGGAAAACTTCAATCAGTTGCTATAATGATGCCAATTCAATTCGATTCAATAAGCTTTACTGGCATGACATTTCTTATGTGTTGCCAAAACACAATTACAATTTAAGACAATCCATCCATCCATTTTCATTCGCTTATCCAGGGCTGGTTCACAGGGGCAGCAGGCCAAGCAAAGCACCCCAGACGTCCCTCTCCCCAGCAACGCTTTCCAGCTCCTCCTGGGGGACCCCAAGGTGTTCCCAGGCCAGATGAGATATGTAATCCCTCCAGCGTGTTCTGGATCTGCCCTGGGGCCTCGTACCAGTGGGACATGCCCAAAACACACTAGGACACCTCTAACGGGAGGCGCGCAGGAGGCATCCTGATCAGATGCCCGAACCACCTCAACTGACCCCTTTCGACGCGAAGGAGCAGCGACTCTACTCCGACCTCCCTCTGGATGTATGAGTCCCTTACCCTATCTCTAAGGCTGAAACTCATTTCAGCTGCTTGTATCCGTGATCTCATTCTTTCGGTCATTACCCAGAGCTCATGACCATAGGTGAGGGTTGGGACGTAGGTGGACCAGTAAATCGAAAGCTTCGCCTCCAGGCTCAGCTCCCTCTTCACCACGACAGTCACTGCTGAAGTCACACCAAACCGCCAATCCATCTCACACTCTGTTCTACCCTCACTCGTGAACAAGACCTCGAGATACTTGAACTCCCTCGCTTGAGACAGTAGGAGTTTGCATTTAATTTTTGTAAAGAACTTTTTTTTGATGTCTTTGTATGTGCTGTATTGTAGCAGGAAATGTTGCCCTGTCTCCACCTGTCTCTGAGGACAGAGCTGACACAGCCCATCTTCAACAGGCAGCCTGGTCTTCCTGTGTCTGCCAGTCTCTACAGCCAGGCTGTGATCACTGAGTCTGTATCTGTCTCAGTTTCTGATCTGCCACAGCGGTCTTTCCTTACAAGCTAGTCCACCATAGATGATTTTTTTTCCACCTCTTCCCTGATTTCACTTTCCTCTTTGGAGACTGTGTAACGTAAACCTGACTGACAGGTATTACAGGCTTTGGTTGCCATGGTCACCGAGATGTAAATGCAATTTCCTGTTAGGGGGGAAGCTTAGATTTTTGAATGTGAGGCAGTAGCTTTGTTTGTGATGTGAAAAGCCAGGCACACAAGAACACACACTATGAAGAAATAACCCAAATAAATAATTTCCCCTCACAGTTAAACACACAGCCCCTTTATGACTGAGTGTCCTTGATAATAAAAGGCTTTTTATCTGGAGTAGAGTGTGATTAGGCTACTGCAAATATGCTGCACGCGGTTCAGCGGAATCTTCAGGAGTGTGTGTGTGTGTGTGTGTGTGTGTGTGTGTGTGTGTGTGTGTGAAGTGATGAAGCTGAACTGCTTGCCTGTGTGGACTCAGTTTGCGCTGACTCTGCAGTTTTAATGTTCTTTCATGAGCTTAGACCTGCACAGTGGAGGGTTATATTAGAGGGATGGGAGAACAGCAACAACAGCTGTGGCCCAGACTCTGCATACACACTCCTCTTTTCTTTCTGTGTGTGTGTGTGTGTGTCTCTCTCTCTCTCTCTCTCTCTCTCTCTCTCTCTCTCTCTCACTCTCTCTCTCTCTCTCTCTCTCTCTCTCTCTCACGCACACACAAACACACACACTATCACACAGCCAAACCGATGATACATGTTGGTG